AAAAAAAAAACAAACTCTGTGGGAAGCAGTATGGATGATTATAGTTGCCCCAAAGTTACAATCAGCATAAAGCACAATTCTTTCCACAGTTTGTCTTTCTATACAAACTCTTCTGTTAACTTCCTCTGGAAAAAGAAAACTATCACTTTGCTGTTTATTTGCAATACTGCTTACCCTGGGGGTTTTTACTTACTTATTTATTTTTTTGGCTTATTTACAAAAATGAAAAAAAAATGTCATTTCAGGGTCTAAGAGCACTTTATATTCTTGAAGAAGAGATTCACGCTGCCAATGACTTAGATAATCTATTTTGTTTCTCATCTGTATTGAAGGGCACTCATATCTATGTATTCTTGTGTGCAAATGTTGAAGCTCCATAACTATTCAGTGTGATTGTTTGGATTGCTAATCTCTCCAGGGTTTCTTCAACATTCTCAAGGCAGTTTCTGGCACCAAAGGGAAAATGGAGAAGTTGAGATGCAATTTTATCTCCCAGTTGAACTTGATTAAATGGGGACTGTTCTAATCAAAAGTTTGAATCCTAAGGGAGTGCAATGTTGTTAACAGGTTGAGAATATCTGAGAAGAACGAGGAGGAAGAGTGCTAAAGTTAAAACAGGGAAAGAATCAGGCAAGAAAATAATTGTAGCAAAGCTCATTAAGGCATAAAATTAGGTGAACAAATTGCCTCACAGATAGTGTTAAGCTCATTGCTAGACTGGCAAAGGAAGTGGAAGGAAGCTCTTTGAAAACATTATTTTTATTATTTTAATAATTTGTGTAGGAATCCTAGTAGCTGCAATCTGTTAGCCAGAAACAATTGCCAGCTGGTGTCATCGTGGAGTAACTATAGCAGGCTGAATGCAAACATGTTTTCCTTTTTACCTGGAGAGCATTCAATTTTAGAAAGTTCCTATTCATTTTCATCTGAATGTGAAGTCTGCCCTTGTAGATAAGGAAGCCTGTTTATTGCATGATTTAAGAGCTCTGATTAGGCTCACACCAAGTTCCAAATGTAACAGGGAGACCACATCTGGGACAGACTGTGTTTACACAATCAAGTTACCTATCATTATAAACAAATGCTTGGGTGTCTGCCTGCATTATCCATGTAATAGCTTGATTCTTGTGCATGACTTTCTTGTGGTTACCTCAGGAAATGGTGGTGCTCCATTCGTTAGTTTATTGAGAGCAAAACCAGATATTTTGGGATGATGCTCTTTGAAAAGGGTTAAAGGCACATTTATTTATGGAAATATACATTTTATTGGCAACATAGCCATTAAATTTGTTTGTTATGTTTTCTGAAATTATCCTAAGTAATTTTTTGTAACAATGATATAATTATGTTGTTCTTATTTTTCCTGTTCATCTGAAATCTCATAGACTAGGTGTGGAAATTACAGGATGTGGAGATTGCTCAGTTTTGCTTAGATAGAGGGAGAGACAGAATCATTTAATTGTTCTATTGCAATTCTATTGTCTCTTCCTGCCTCTTGACTCCAAGGTCTCAAGATAGGAGAGAAGACTCATAGACTCTGTTGCTGAAGCCATTGGATTTCTTCATGGGAGATTTGAATACAATTTAGGAATGCTAATGGTTTCTAATCCTGGCTCTACTTTCAACTAGTTTTTCTTAGTTCAGTTTCCTCATCTCTGAAATGGGATATTAAACTTCTCTGATCTCCTCGGAGTGTTGGTCTGAAGAGAAAATGAAATAGTGGTTAAGAAAGGGCTTTCCATTCTACACATTGTCACCAGCGCTCAGGTTATACATTTGGGTTGCTAACAAGATTATATTTATCCATGTGATAGCAAGTGATTTTATAGAAAAGGTGAAACTTCTCAAATAAAGTAATACAAGATGTATAGTGAATTTTCCCTTGGCAAAAGCATAGGTAGCTTTTTAAAAATCAGTAACACCATTAACAAGAGGTATTCAGGAAATAAATGTTGGGTTTTAGTCCTATCACAATTTCTTGTTTTGGAGAGTTGTGTGATGCCATTATTAGAAGCTTAAATTTGAAGTGAGAGAAAAGGAGATAGAATCAAGTAAGCTCTGAAGAAGCTGATTCATCTTACCCAACACCTTCCTTACTAATATAGGCTCACAGGTATCAGGAGGGCATAGTTTGTGTTTGTTTATAGAGTTGAAAGCAGAAAAGGAAGCAGAGAAGAATTGTTGAAAAGAATTCCACCCACTTAGAATAATAAAAATAAGTTCTCATGGGCAAGTGTTAGCATTCCTGAAAGAGGTTGGACCTTACTTGATGGTTGTGAAGGGGGCAGTCTGGCAAATGGATGTGTGCAGTGTTTTAGAAGAGGCATATAGGTAGATCCATAAGGTGGACAGGTGGGGCCTTTGGCTGCTCTGGATGCTGGAAAGCCAGGAGCAGGGGCAGGAATGGCAGGACAGCCAAAAGGGACATGTTGGCCAGACCCAGGAGTCAAGCTACACTGTCTCCATCTTCAACACACTGAGACTCTCCAAGGGGGTCAAGTAAGTCTGGGCTGTTAGAGGGACCGTTATTTAACTTGAGAATCCCGTCATTATCTGAAAAGCAGATATATATTAAGCCAAGATTTGACTCTCAGAAAACGCAAAAATTAGATGTTTGAAAAATAAAGTTGTGAAGAACGCCTGCACTTGCTTAGCCAATGAAATGCCAGTAAGTGCAGGCCAATCTCCCACCTTAGGGAGAAGTGGGCAGGTCTTGCACAACAGGAGTTCCAAGAACATTCATTACTGGGGTGGATTTTAGGAGTTGACCCCCAACTCCTCTTGTGTTCTGAGTGGTGCGTGGTTGTGGGCTAGTGCAGAACTGGGAGAAATGAAGTGTGCGCTGTGGGTGCTTGATGGATAATGGATGGATGGAGAATGCAGGTTGAAAAACGTCGTAGCGTTGGACATGCCAAGTGGGTAGTTAAAGAAGGGCCAGAATAAAACCTGAGCACCGGCTAGAACGTCTTGGGTAGAAAGGAAAAGGGGTCGGGAGTCAGTTTCCGCGGTCGACCGCGGGATCAGCCAACTGGTGTGAAGTCCGGTCCAGAAGCGTGCCCAGCGTTGTGCAGTCGCCCTTGCAAATGAGGCCGGCCGAGTGCCAGTCCCCTCTCAGCTGGAGAAGGCTGCGCGTGGGGCTGGCGGTCTCACGTCCGCGCCGGCGACGCGCTCCTGGGGGCCTCGGCTCGCTCCGCCTCCGCCTGGCGCCCCCATCCCTCGGCGCTCTCGGCTGCTGGGATTCCCACCCCCAGCGGCCTCCTGCGAGCCCCGCGGCGCGGCGCGCTCCTCCCCTGGAAACTCCTCCGGGGCCGGGACGCGTCGGCGCATGCTCCGAACCTCGGGCAGGTTTGTGCTGCGGGGAGCCGGCTCCAGTCACACCGGCTGGCGGGCTGTGGCGGTGCCAGCCGGAGCGTGCGAGAG